CACTTTCGCTACCTGTGCCACAATTGTGAATCGAGAGTGTTGCAAGCTATATCTTTCTTTCTGATAATCAAAATAAATGTCTATTCTTTATCTGTGACCTTTAGTCCCCAAAAGATGAACGTCCACTAAGCTAAATAGGGCAGGAGCTAAACGCGACTGTGAAGACCATAGCAACAGATTGCCAACAGCTAATTATTCTCACACATAACACAATTATGACTTAATAACCAGATCAATCAACTTCAATAAATCGTGCCATCTGAATGTCAAGTACACCCCCAATACAGTCACATCAGAATCGAAAAGACAAAGCTTCAATTCCCAAATGCTAGCACTATGAGAAATGAAAGTTAAACGAATACCTGCAGCTCCGGAAATTTCTTTAGCACCGCCGTAACCAAATAGGACAGGGAGATGAAATCTGCTTTGGTAACTTCAGGCACTCGAAACGTGTGTGAACAGTTAGGGCTGTTCACTGAACATTGCAGATAACGTTTATACTGTCTGTTAAACCATTGTCCTTCAGTTGCAGTGGACTTTTGAACCTTGTATAATTGACATGATCAGATGAATCAAGAGTCAGGAGTAAAACCTCATCTTTCAATAGGTGTGAACACTCTATTCTGGAATTATCTACTTATCTAGGAACATGATTCAACTGTAAAATTTGATGCAGGCTGAAACCTAAAATCTCAGATACTGTTGAAAGTATGTTTTAACTAATGATTTGTTGCATTTTGATGCTGATACTGATAGATGGTTTACATATCTTTATATAAATAGTAGTTTTCACCGAAACGTTTACACGAACTTTATCGTCACATTTTTTGAAACTCAAGGTTCAGTGATCAATACAAACAGTGCGGCATGTCTGAATATATATATTTCCTACATGACCTTGAGAATAAGCCTTTCAATGTGTCAGCTTCATGAATCGAATTCGACATCTCCCAGATATTCGAATTTTGTAACAGAGCATAATAAAAAATAATTTTTTTCCAGGCTTTTTGGTTAGGAATTTTAGGATGATAGTTTTCATTTCCAGCAAATATTTATCATCTAGGTATATTCGAAACAGAGACAAGTACAATATCTATTTGTAGTTATCCTTATAACTTGTAATTTAAGATTAAATGCTTATCTAACTTATATCAAGTTAAAATGTCTTCAGTAGTAATTTTGACTAAATTTTACACTAATCATTTAGACATGATTCTTTTCTTTCAACTAATGAACTTCTGGTACTGACCAATATAATGGTCGTAAATTGATTATATTCTCATTTTTTTTCCTGGGTATTTGAAGGCAACACATCATAACCAAACTATGACATGACGATTAAAACGAAAACTGTGTAAAGTATGCTACTGTGATGTTTAATTTGTCTATTAGTCTACCAAGCAATATGATTGGCTATTTCAACGTGAATTCAGTCTTCTAATATGCTAAAATTCAATTTGTCTAAATCGGAAGTTTAGAAAGAAATGTTGTGAAAATAACTTGGAAAGTTGAAATCACATGAAAAGAAAAATCCTACTAGATGATCACCTTCAATAATGTGGTAAATAAAATTACACATTATACGAAAGTATATGTTGTTAACTTTTTTAAGAACATCACATTTATATTTAAAAATGGATAGTAAAGTCTTCTTTAAGCATACTTTTGCATAAAACTATTTGAAAGCATGTGATATTGCATACAACAATCAAATATTTAGTAAGTAGAAGGATATCAACTCCATATATTTTCAACAAAACTACGCACATAAAGCAAAAAAAGAAGTGGGTGTAAATTCTATTTCTATCTGGAGGTTTATAGAGATTCATTCAATAATTTTTAAGTTGAAATTTATCATAGATTGACATCAGTTGTAGGAACAGAACCTTAAGGTCATAAGTTTGATCTCAGGTAGGTGTAGTCATGGGTACGCACTATTGAGCAGTCCCATACTAGGACGAAGTAGTTGTCCAGTGCTCCAAGGTTGTTCGACTTTTTCTATTACTGATGTCAGTCTAGGATGAATTCCAACCTAAAAGTAAATTGTATTTGCCTTCAAAAATTTTGTCTTTGTTATTCTTACAAATCTACACATTTTCAGCATAAAAAACAACATAATTCTTGCACTACTCAAGAAAATATGCTTCTGAATACTGAGAATGGTAAGGTTTTACGTTTCAAATGTTTTTCATTATTCGCAGATTTTAGGATATAACTCATACTTCTAAGCTCATAAATCTGCTTCATTATTTTAAACTGCATACATTACTGTTTTTGATTATTCATAATACATGGTTTGTAAGTTTGCAAATTTACTTCCTAAAAGCTGTCAATAGGATATTATAGGCAACTCATGCACCTAGACTTTACAGCTTATAGAATCCCATGAGTTTTTCGAATACCATCATCAACAAAATAGTTGCAATCGGCATGATATCTCTCCGCAGAGAATAAGTGAGATTCAGTGTTAGGCAGACATTCCACTTTCTATAGCTATGTTAGAAAAATATTATTGGTAACCTTGAACACGAACAGAATGAAAAGTTTCACTTCCTTGATCTCATAGTTTGATGAACTACAAATTAGAATGTACAAAGACTAACCTATTGTAAAAATTCATAGGGAAGAATATATCCTGATTTCAACAGGTTCGTTCAATAATAAAAGGCTAATGAAGGAAGTTTTAAACGGCTACATTGAAGAGAATCTATCCAGTTACCAGGTTACTGACACTTTGTCAAAGGAATTGTTCACTGAGACAATCTAAGATTGACAACTCCTGTTTTCATGTTATCCCCCAGTTGCAGAGATCAGTTATTTGTAAGCAATCATATTTCAATAAATTTGAGACTGAGTGGTGAAAAAGTCTTTAAAAATACTACTGTACATCACTTTATTGGTAGTGAACAGGAAGTTGACATTGAGAAATGGCTTGAGATAATTAATCCATAGATGAACTTGTATGTGTTACATTTCACTTGTGCTGTAGCTATTAGGCAGTTAAAAGCAAACTTATGTATCCTGAAAGAAACAGCTATCAGTCTGTACTTACCATGGTAAACTTTACGTGTTGTTGATAGATATGATACTGATTCATACACCTTTATTGTTATTTTATTTCACACCCTTGACCTACTTCTCCCAATTCTATTCATCTTATTTCCCAAGCCAGAGTAAATCCCTTGTCATCTTTACACATATTTTAAGTAACCTTTCTCAAAATACAGAACATAATTATCTCCCCCTATTATGGACAACTTCCGCTAAATAGAATATTTACTGAATCTTTCCACAAATGGAAAAATCTATTAAAAAGTTTAAGGATTGGTTAATTTTAAGGTAGCAGTCATGACGAGGTGATACTACTTGGAGAAATACTGAAAACCTGAGAGCAGTTGGCAGCTGCTTTGATCAAGTATTGAACTCCTCAGTGGTGCACGTCCACCACTCAGTGGGAGATCCAACATATGACCATCAATTCTTAAAGCCAGTACTTTGCCACTCAGATAGTAAATTGCTGTCCAGCGATCCACTCTTATTACTTCTGCCAGTTTGCTATACGGCTTGACCATTATTCAGTGCAATCGGCTCGTTTTTGTCCTCGAAACATGATCTGATTAACTATACAGGTCGCGGCTTCATATCAGAACTTCAGGAGATCCCTATGTCCAGATCTTTCATGTCCTGAATGGATCTTAGAGTAATGTCAGTCTGCGATTCAAAATACATCAGCAATTCTCATGCATTCATATTTATTTATTCACATAACTCATATGTCTTCGCCTACGTAATCTCAGAGCTATCTTATGAGTATTTTCCTATCAAACGGATTCAAGTATGCAGGCCTTTTTAATAATTAGTTATATATATTGAAGTAGTATTTATCACCGAGTGACACCAGATGTAGAACCACTGAAGACCTGGGAACACTGGGCAACTGTTTTGTCCTAGTGTGTGACTCCTCAGCAGTACACATCGACAACTTGGCTACAGGTCGAGCTCATGACATCCAGGTTTCACGGAGAACGCGATAATCATTCAGTCACTGAGTTGGAGTTCAATGGTTCACAGTTTCCAACTTCTATCGATTCACAGTATAGTGCGGTTATCACCCTAAGTCTTTAGTTGGCATCCGCTTCCCTTCCAACTGGTTGACCCTACAGATCATAACTTCTCACTAGAACTTCGAGATTTCCATTTGGAGGCATGTCATTAATGGAATCCATGAAGCATTGAAATCCTCCATAAAACTTGAAGGTCTTGAGTTCAATCCCTTGCCGGATAGTGAGTGCGTACTGCTGAAGAGTCCTATACTAGGATTAAGAAGCTGTCCAGTGCTTCCAGGTTTTCAGTGGTTCTTGGTCTGATATAAGTGCGCGATAAATGCTACCTCATAATTGAAATCCCCATTCGCTTATATATGTAAACGTGACATTTCGCTAAAATTGCTGTTCTCGTTCTACTTACCATGGATAAAAAATGTGTGGAAATTTCACAGTTACTTATATCATTACCAAATATTTTTTAAAAAATGTACTTCTTTGATTTTCATTTGGAGCAATACAACTCACTACTTTAAAATGACATCTCGTTCTAAAATAAACAAATATACTCACTCATCATCCTATCGTTTTGTTTAATCCATATAAGCCTACTTAAGTGGATCAATGCAGATGAATGAACACCAATAAGAGTAGGATTTTGTAAAAAGCTGAGTTACCCCTAATAGCTAGACAGAAAAACCGATCATTATTCAGTGTTCACATCAAAATATTAACAGGATACCTGTCTATCATCATAGTTTGCCAAAATTTACGACAAGCCAGTATTTAGATGCATGTTAATCTCCGTAAATATTATAAATTGACAAGATGCATTATATTACTACAAATAATCTTTCTGGCATTCAAGGAACAAACTGTTTCCTTCTGCTACTAAAATTATACTTGTTCAACTTTGAGAAAGCTTAGCTACCTAACTTGAATATTATCATTGCAAGTAACAGATTAAAATATCTTTTTTTCGAAATCATTAGTAAAATAACAAAAACAAAAAATGAAAATAATTTTAAATGAAAGAGATAAAGTGTTACATTTCTTTTTAATTATCACCGAATACACTACTGCTTAAGACGATTGATATGTTTGCGAAAACAGAATAACATAATTGAGTATTGCACAAATCATAACCTTAGTCAAGGTCAATCATTTGTGTAAAGGCATCAGTTATTGTTCATGAAATATTCAAGAAGTGTTGCTAGAAAATTAGATCTGTAAGAATTGGCTAGAAAGTTACTAGATAAAAAGCAAAGCAAATGAGAATGAATTATTTACACTGAATGAAGGTGGAAAATAAGTGATAACAATTAGAACAAACCCTTCCAATAAGAGGAAATTGTATAGAAGTAATCATTAAATAAATGTGACCAAAACATAGTAGAAATGATAGTTAAAAAATAGAATAAAAGAAGCAATTATCACATCATATTTAGGTTAGTTAACTAACTTATAGCTGTTTTATGTGTTTTCCGCTGATTCTCTGATTACTACTTGAATACGTGGCTAAATTTAGCTTCAACTTACTCACTTGAATGAAAAGGTTCTGCATTTTTATGCTGTAGTCTTGATGGACGTGTACAAGCAACCACTTTTGGGCTAGATAAATCTCGTGCAATACTATCACATGTACGATTTTTCGTCTCTACCATATACAGAAAGAAAAATGTCCAACAAATTATAACAATTACTAGGAAAGGTATAAATGAATAACCACCAATCGCATCCTGTAGGAAAGAAAAAACAAAAATGATCATTTATACATCATGAATAAAGGTATGAAAGTTTATAGCAGTATGTTTAGCAATCTGAAATGTCGATGGCGATCTGCTTAAGACTAAATTTAAACAAGCATTTTCATCAAATAACTCCTGTGGAGATTGTTTTAATCACTGAAATGTTTCTTCAAGTGGCAGTAAACATCTTTGCACCTTAGAAAAATGGTTCTTATAACCTGCCATCTCGCAGGTTAACAATAAAATTCAAAAAAACCTGAAGGCAGATGATTATAGGCTTTCATATGTAGTCTAACTTCAGATTTTCACGATGGCTTGATGAGCCAGCAAAATCAAATTTATGCATCCCTAGCCTCTGCAGCAACGCACCTTCAGGATAGATGATAGCCTAAATAGAGCCAGTTGTTACATGGTATCGCCTGAATACTATAGTGTTGCTAATAACATTGCTTAGATTCCACAACTAAAATATTTGAAAATATTGTACTACGAGTACATTTGTTGAAATATTGAATTCTGAGAATTCCATTCTGTAACAAACATATTGTCTAGAGTAAAATAGTCACTAATATTATTACTATACACTATACGTTGGTTTAGCATGAACTAGCTAGACAAAACACGAGGGTACCGTATACTGGTGTTCCCAAGGACCTTGGAATCTATATATCTTTTCAAATGCACCTATATATATATATATATATATATATATATATATATATGCGCTATTCCTAAATTCTACTCATCCACCGTTGGTGTATGTTAGTAAGAAGTGACAAAAAGTTAAAGACATGTAATACCTCCCCAGAGATTCTGACCCAAACAACCCAAACGACTGAGTCTCTTGGTAGTGTCAAAACCGCAGAATATTTAGTTCTGAGGTGGTGGGCGAGTTCTATCATACAAGTTTACACTAACATGAGGGGGCTAAAACAGGAAGCATAAAATGAAGTGTAGTAGGGCCGTTCGATAGATTTTTAACAACAGTAAAAGTTAGATGTTCAGTGGAAAATTGGTGCACCGCTTGCGCTGATTGTATTCTAATATCATATGCGATATTTTTGTATTTTCTAATTTTCATTTCTTCAATGTCAGTAAATTTTTATAAGAAAATAGGCAAACTGTATTTTCTGTCTGACCAAACACCTAAAAGATGATTACCGTAAACAAATTTGTCAGTTAAAAGATCCCATTGATTCAACTAAGCAAAATAATTCAGTTGACCAAATCCCTTTCATTGACTACTGCACAAAATACGCAGGTTGACTTACATAAACCGTATAACTGAGACCATTTGAGCATAAAATGTCAGCCCAATCAAGATTCATAGATCTTGGTAAGGTGAAGAATTCGAATATGTTTGACTATCGCTGACCGTGTGCTTATCTCGAATCCCGATGATGCCGAGATTAACGTTCTGTGGATATGAAGGTATTTAACAGCTTCAAGCTTCACCTAAACTAATGAGACTTGAGTGGCGTTTAAGCATAGATCATTTTCTCTTTTGGATATGAAAATAAATAATCCTCATTCAGTTTTGGATAGTTCACAAATCAGTACATGTTCAAAGGAGTTGCAGCTCGTTGGTTGAGGGAGATGACTTTCAACCAGCAGGTCACTTAACATATTGTAGCTAATCAATTCAGTTTATTTAGCTCAAACCACTGAACACATTAGATAGTAAGGTGAATGAATTTACAGTTTAACCGACAACTCTAAGTTCGTGGTAATCGAGTACAAACTAGTGGTAAATATCAGGTTTCACAGCAAATGAGAGATTGTCAGTTGTGTAATCTAATACATACTACTTGCTTTTCTTTCATTCTATATTCTACCTCCGTTTTTCTAGAATTGAAAGAAGGGGACTACTCAAAAATAAGTGTAAAACTCGGGTACTGTGGTACATTGTAACTCCATATTACATTTGTTTATTTGATACGGGATATAGTGATACAGTATTAATTGCTGGATGACGCTTTCAACATAAATTACTGTTCATAGTCATATCAGTGTTATTAGACAACTTTCAACATCCCATGCTTATATTCCTTCCACCTCATATTATTTGTTTTTATAGGTGGTAGTAAAATAAACCATATTTGTGGTATAGGTGTTGCATGATTCCTGTGACACTTGTTGGATGTTGCAACCAGTAATCTATGAAAATCTCGGCTATTGGAATGGATGGATTACCGTACAGACACACAATGGGGTGAACTGAAAACACTCCAGTTAAGTTCAATACAATTGGGTGGAGAGAGAGGGAGATTGATTATTGAATGTTTGCTCATCGACTCGACCAACACGCAACACATGCAATTGGGATGATGCAGCAGGTATACCGGAGATATGGAAAATGTTGCTAGGAATAAAAGTAAAGTATATGGGGGTGATGGGAGTATAAAAATCAGATGTTGGAAGTTGTATGATTATATTGATATGAGTATGGACAATGTTTTGTGCTCTAAACGTCATCAAGTAAATAACACTAAATCAAATAAATCAGGTATTTCTGCCAGAGATAATGTACTTAGACCTACGCTTATGATGTTGATATTACAACCACTTTCGATCAGTTAGTATGGATATTTGCCACTGATCTTGACATGTTTTAGCTATTTGATCAATCTTAGTAGAAGAATGAATTTAAAATCACTTAAACGTTACATTAATATCTCTAATGACGTGCATTTATGGAGTAAGGGAGTGTCCATCTATGGTTAAATAATTTCTGAGTACATAGTTCCCCAACAAAGAGTGAAGAAAACCTATTCAATTAGTAGATTTATTTAACTGACTATATGATATTGTAACTAACCCATTGTCTTACATATTAATATCTTATCGATGGGATATTACCTTGTACTGTGGTATTTCGCTCAATACGACTGTTAGGTTGAACGTTTCAACACATCCTACTGTAGTCTAAACATTTTTTTCACCTTAACTCTTCAATTTATTCAATACACAATAGTATGTTTGTATAGACTACTGAATGCACAAAGTAAAAATAGGCTATACACGTGAGTTTGAGAATAATTTATTTTGCATACCTAATCCCTAAACTATTCATTTATTTTGTCTATCATTATGACTTGTTAGCACGATGAACCCAACTGTGAAGGTTAGACATTCCTAATGTCATCTCATATACAATAATAAATGTGTCTATTGCAGAGAAATCCGTTTGTGGTAGACTGTTACAGAAAATGGATTTTGTTTCGTTTCTAATCATTTTTCCTATCACAGACAACCAAATGATCACGTTCGTAAGGTATTCACTTGGTAAATGTATTATATAAGTTTGTATGTGTGCAAAGATTGAGTTAATTGCATTATTGTATACAAGAGAAACTGCCGTTCACACATGACACGTTCTTTTATTGTTTTAATTTGAGGCTCGTGAATTCCTAAGCAATTGAAATTTCATTAACATACTAATCAACTGACTAAGTTCAGTATGGGGTTAATAATACAAGCTGCAATTTGCTGAGAGTCAAATACTTCCAAATTACATCTCTGTATATAAGAATTAGGCGATTTCATGCATATTTGGAATTTTATTCATCTGCTTCGTATACATATTCAATGGGTTTAGACATTTAACCTCGTTGGTTTAAGATCTGGTCAGTCAAAGCTAAATCCACTTATACAATCCATTCCATGGATTCCTTTAAAAACCCAGTTAATAAGGTTACTCAGTGTTTGACATAAGTACGTATTAATGAAACCATCTGATGTAATTATGGTTTGATATACTAGTATCTTTAGTACTATCGTACAATTAAATGTGAGTTGAAAACCTGAGTAATGGAGGGACGCGAAGTGGAATCCCTCGGGTTACTGAGGAATCTCGTACAAAAGAAGAAACAGATGTTCAGTGAGCCCAGGTTTTCACTGCTTTGTCAACTGTTGTCACTCCGTGATCAATACCAAACTGTAACCATTAAATCCCCACAAAGCTTTACCTTAAAATAAGGGAATACTTGCAATACAGTAAATTCTAACACTGTGAGGTCACTGATACCAGTCGGCAAATTTCTGTATTCAGACAAAATTAGTGCTGCTCTTAGTCTTGTATCGGTTTGAATAAAGAAGTTAATGTGTGCAGATGCCAAAGATATTATTTTGTTGGTTGAACTAAATTTCGCTTCTGAAGATAAATATTTGATGTGGGGATTATCACATTGGTTATCACTTGAGAGTAACTAATTTCATAATGATTTCAGTTTGGTATTCATCACCTACTGACATCAGTTGTAGAAACATTGGAGACCTGAGAAGAATGGACAAGTCACCAGTGAATCCCTTCGTTAGGTGATTCCAGAAGTTCTACTAACAAAAATGGAAGTCCTGAACGCCATAAAAATTTTGAAATGCGGGAAAGCAGCAGGATCAGATGGGATCCCACCAGAAGCACTGAGAACAGACGCAGAGACAACAGCAGACATGCTCACACCACACCACTATTGCAGAAGGTGTGGAAGGAAGAGAAGGTACCTGCACATTGATTGGAAGAAGGGTTACCTTGTCAAACTCCTGAAGAAGGGAGACCTCAGTGTTTGCAAGAACTGGCGAGGAATCACTCTCCTATCCACCCAGAGCAAGCAAAATATTAAGCCGCATCATCTTGGAAAGGCTTAAGGATGCACTGGATTCAAAACTACGACCGGAACAGGCTGTCTGGCTGGATTCAGGAAGTACAAATCATGTGTGGACCAAATTGCAACGCTACGCTGTGCATCATCATACAACACAGCATAGAATGGCAATCAGCTCTCTACCTAAACTTCATCGACTTCGAGAAGGCCTTTGACAGCGTCGACCGAGAGGTAATTTGGAAACTGCTTCATTACTACGGAGTACCGCAAACTTTTATCCACCTCATTCAACAACTATATGAAGATGACACATGCCAAGTAATCCACAATGGGAAGCTCAGTGATGCTTTGGAAGTGAAGACAGGAGGGAGTGAGACAAGGTTGCCTACTATCACCCATGATATTCCTGATTGTGGTCAACTGACTGGATCATGCAGCAAACAGTGGGGAGCTGTGAGAATAGGGGGATAGGCTAGACTGCGGGAAATGACCTAGAAGATCTGGATTTCGCCAGCGATGACTTGTGTCTGATTTCACACAAACTTGAAGATCTACAGGCAAAACCTAACAAGTTGTCAGAAGAGGTGAGGCAGGGCAGCAAAGACGGAACTTCAAGTGAATGTAGAGAAGACAGAGGTAGAGGTGATGAAGATACCGCACCACCACCATCAACAACAACAAACTCCAGCCACCATCAAGGGGAGAAACTTAAGGGAAGTAACCTCCTTCACCTGTCTAGGCAGCACTGTTTCAACTACAGGTGGCACAGGCACAGACGAGGATGTCAAAGTCAGCCAGGATCGGAAAAGCAAGACAGGCGTTCATTAGCCTGAAACGGGTGTGGAGATCTTCTGCACTCAGCATAAAGCGTGAACAATATCCGGATTTTCAACACCAAAGTCAAGTCAGTGCTTCTGTGTGATGGTTCAGAGACTTGGCACGTCACGAAAGGGATTTCCAATAAACTACACACATTCATCAACAACTGCCGCCTACGCTAGCTCGCTACTGAAGATCAGATGCATTGCCAGAATAATGAGAATAAGCAACAAGGAGCTCTGGCTGTCAACGAACCAACCAAGAATCTATCGCTCAACAAGTATGCAGAAGGAGGAAGTGGAGATGGATTGGGTATGCACTGAGAAGGCCGACTGGGGACATCACGCGTCAGGCCAGTTACTCGAGTGGAATCCCGATCGTAAGCGACGAGTTGGGCGTCGGTGCTGAGGGTGACATGGAGGAGATGGTGTGAGGAGGAAATGAGAGCTTGTGGGGTGTCGTGGAGCCATGTTGAAAAGATTTCGGAAATACAGAGTTCACTGGAGACGTGCTACTGAAGCCCTATATTCCACTAGGAACCCAAGGGACTAATAATAATAATAATAATAATAATAATAATAATAATAGAAGTTCTACTGAGAATTCGTGACGGTGGGGCCAGCCAGGTGGGACACGAGGATAGATACTCAAAGACGTGGTTGGATAGAAATCAGGCTACATCGTGAACCGACAGAAGTAGGAAATGTGTTTGGCTGAATTCCAACCAAGTGGGTCAATGATAATGTGCTGACCATAGAACCTAAAGGTCCTGAATTCAATCCCCGGTAGGCACGTTCATGTGTTCGCACTGCTGAAGAATCCCATAGTAGGACAAAACAGCTGTCCAGTTCTCCTAGGTTTCCAATATTTCAGTCTACGAAGAATATTAACCTGAAATCAATAAGTAAAGCCCCACAAACCACAAAATTCAATTTCATATTGATTAGCCCTGAGTGTCTGATTAAATTCTATCGACCGTTTTGCAATGTGGTCTCAAAGTTAGGAGACTTGCCATCATGATATATGTTAATTTGTTGCATAATTAGCAAGAGGCCTTACTTGACTTAGGTTCCGTGCTTTTAAGTACTAATCAGCAAGTCGTATCTGAAACCTACAGAGAAGCGCACTCCCCTCTGAGATTTGAACCTATATCCCGCAGGATTGCAGTCAAGCACATTTTCTCCGAGCTATTTATGTTGTAACTTCCTTCATGCAGAAGTGGATTCAAAAGGCTGATTGGTCACTGAAGAGTGACCAACTTCATGTTTTATGGTCTTAAATGATGACCTAATTCTATCGGTTGTGTTGTAATTTAGTGAAAAAGCTGATCACAATATTGGGACCATACATTTCCAAATGGCTCAGTTATAACGTAGCTAAATTTAACGCTGGGTGACACGTGTTCAAGTCTCAGAGTGGACATCAGTCCCCATGAGGTTGCAGATACAACTAGGTGACGAGTGCCAACAAGCAAGAAACCTAAGTTGAAAGAAGCTTCCTTCCGGCTGGTTCCAAGAAAATAACATTTACCAAGGTGCACCACGATGATGAGCTTCCCAGTTTGGTGGCCAAATTGCAATATGATCAGTAGAATTCAGGCAGTACTCAGGACTGGTCAACGTAAAGAAATTGATTGTCATCCAGTGACTAATCAGTGTACAGGTCAACAACATGAATAAACCAAGAAAGTCATCGGAAGTTGGTTTTCTTTTGGGTGCATAGAATAAGGCTTTATCAATCACATTTGTGACCTACAAAAGCTGCCACCTGTTGGTGAGCAGGTAATCTAAAGAACAGGAAGTTAAGCCGAGTTAAGGCCTAGATTATTTTCATTTTTATTCGTCATTATATGTAACCACTGTCTGAATAGAAATGAAATAAACTTCAATAAAAAAGTGAAATTATCATGATTTTGTTAGATCAGTACTTACATTAATGCTTGGATAACTAAATAATACCAACATGTTGCACACCCAGTTTATCCCTTGACTTAAAGAATAAGCTGCAGCTCTTGGTTCTTGTCTAAATATTTCAGAGACAAACAAACCAGGCACTGGACCCAATCCTAAAGCAAAGCCACAAATATAAATAATTATAAAAACAGCGGAAATGATTCCAGCAGCTCGAGCAGCTGCAGGATCTTTCAGTGTATTTGCCAAATTGACAGTGATTGTTAGGAATAAAAGGGAGATAGCCAAAAGCACACTTGGCCATAACAAAAGTGTTCTACGTCCAGCACGTTCAATTAGGAAAACGGAAACAATAGTCATTATCACGTTAATGGCACCAACTGCAACTACACAGAACTGGATGTACATATCTGGAATCCCAGCCGTTTTTAGCATTGTAGAAGAATATGTAATTACCTGTGAAATTAGACAGAAAATGATGAATAAAATGAGTTTTTAAAAAGTCATTAAAAAAATGCACTGAGTCATAATAGCACAAAATGCAATTCCGATTTTTTATGAAAAAGTCTCTAAGTCTACTGATGAGTGATTATAACCTGATTTCATACTTTCTAAAAATCTGTGGGACACGCATACAGTGTTGACATTAAAGACTACTTCATGCCAGTCTGTAGAGTATTACAGCTAGACTTGCAGTGATGAAATGATCATAATATTCAAATGACTGTAACACGCACAATAATTTTAGACATTACTTTACAATACCCGAAATTGCTCAGCTTTGTGGATGTTTATTTCATCAGATAAATGCTCAGAAATATATCGAACTACCTAGTTACGTGACTTCCAAGAAGCAAGACACAAGTCTTTCCAAGAACTGGGGCAGTATCATCCTACACCACTGTCCACACTAAGCAAAATATTAGGCCACATCATTCTGAAGAGAGACTAGAACATGCTCTACATTCAACTGGATTACGACCGGAATAGTCTGGATAGCTGGATGGTTGGCTGGCTGGCTTCAGGAAGAACAAATCATGTGAGGATCAAATTACAACACAACGTCACACTACGCATCATCAAACAACACAGTGTAGAATAACAGTCGATTTCGATTTCGAAAAGATCTTCGACAGCATCAACCGAGAAGTAATTTGGTAGGCAGCTGCTTCAACACTACGGTTTTAGTGCTACAAAACTTTATCAAACTCATTCAAAGGCTAACTTATCAGATGATCATGATGATGATGATGCATGTCAAGTGATTGATAATGGAAAGCTCAGTGATGCTTTTGAAGTGAAGACAGAAAGGAGTGAGATAAGGTTGCCGCCTACTATTACTGATGATCTTCCTGATTGTGGTTGACTGGACTGAACTGGATGATGCAACGAACTGTGAGTGGCGAGAGGTTCAGACACTCTTTGACAGATGAAAAGACCGCAGAAGATTTGGAATTCTCCGGTGATGATTTATGTCTAACGTCTCGTCACACAAACTTGAAGATGTGCAGGCAAAATCAACAAGTTAACAGAAGAGGCAACAAATCAACCAAGAACCCATTGCCCAACAAATATGCAGAAGAAAATGGAGATGGATTGGACTGGGCATTCACTGAGGAGACGGATTAGGGACATCACGTGCCAAGCCCTCGTGTGGATCCCAAATGGGAAACGACGAGTTGGGCATCCGGGGCTAGGGTGGCTTGGAGCAGGTCGTGTGAGGAAGAAATGAGAGCTCGTGGGCAGTCATGGAATCAGGTTAAGAAGACTGGAGAGAAAAGACTGAAATAGAGACGTACAACTGAAGCCCTATGTTCCACTAGGAACCCAAGAGACGAATAAAAAAATAATAATAATGACGTTGAATGTGCAGCGAAATTCAGAATATCGACACTACACCTTTCTTATTTTTAGACTGCATGTTTATTAGGCTTTCCAGTGCTTTGATAAGTATGTGTCTTCGATATTAGACTAAATATTTGTTAAACCTTATTCGAAATAAAGATTCTGAGTGATGAGATTATACTCTAGGAATACTAATATGGATTCAAAAAGTAGTAGAAGAAATCAAAGAGAGGTACTTTGAGTATACTTGCATTTAGCAACTAGACTGTTTTGATCTTTTTCGACTCCTTTACTGAAGGTACAGTGAAGTTCTTCTAATTAGCCTTAACAATCCTAAGTAATGAACGAACAGATAACTGACCTCACTCATTTCTATGGAAAGAACACAGAAAGATTCCAAAAATTATTGCCTAACAGTCTAAGTCTGGAAATCCGTTTCCTAATATTGGTCAATTACTTCACAGAGTATAGTTTATGTTGATCATTTGTGAATGTTATTTTTACCCACTGGAATAAAAATCAAACAAGTTAGTACTCGTCGACTAAACTGCTTTTGTTATTTCAAAAGATTCCATTCAATGGATCACTTGATTGCTTATGTTTCCAAATTTAAATACTAACTATGGATAGTGGCCAGCAGTGGAATGCAGTATGCATGTTTCGTCCTATTTGGAACTCGTCAGCTAGATACATCTGCCTTCCTTTAACTGCTGTTTCCGCCGGGATTCGAACCCGGGACTGATTACTTCAAACGCCAGAGCGTTATCCACTAGACAAGCAGTAGTGAATTATAATTTATTAGTCAGTTTTTATTGACAGAGTTTAATAAGAAACGTTCGGTTTCGACAGAAGTTGTAGCATTTGAATATGGATTTGCTGGTCAGCTGTCTAGTCACTGACTGAAATATTCATGCCATAGTTTTACTGAAATTTGTCTTATATATTATGTTAATCATATAAAAATATTGACCACCATTTTGCGTTATATTTTGTTCCACATAAACGTTACTGAAATTACCAACATCACATAATTGGTATTGCTTCGTCCTATTTAAGACTCGTCAGATGTCAACAAATTCTAATTGTATCCTAAAACTGATACTTGTTTTCTAGTCTTTCTAACTTTTCAAACAAAATAGGAGGAATAAACACAAAGTATGCACAGTAGTAAAATCTATGGTAAAGTAAATAAGAAGGATTAAAACTAACCGCATTAATGCCTGAAAGCTGTTGAAACACTTGCAGGAGACAAGCTATTATAACAGGCATTCGTAGATCTTTTTGTGTAAAAAGTCTACTAAATTTGAATGGTGGTTGACTTTTAGCCAGTTTCATTTCTTGAGCCATTTCATCAAAAATTGCGTCAATATCATCTTTACAATTTAGTCGTTTGAAAGCTTTACGTGCCTCTGCTTCTTTACCTTTTTTTACGAATAGAAATCGTGGACTCTCAGGGCAATATGGTAGAATAATAAGTGAAATCAATGCAGGTATAGATCCTACAGCTATAGCAATTGGCCATAAAACTTCTGTATTGAACGTGAATGTTAAAGTTGCAAGATAAGAAACACAGATACCAACGGTTAAAGCTAGTTGATGTGATGAACCAATACCACCACGAAGAGATATTGGAGCAATCTCGGTCAGATACATTGATGCTATACCAATTGATACACCAGAGTTGAAACCGTTCAAGAACCGACCGACAAACAATAATGCTGGTTGATTGAGCCTTACACATGGACCACATAGTACTCCACCGACTATAGCAAATAAATGGTTCAGCAGTAGACCGTTCCGCCTTGAAAATTAAATAAAAAGGATTTAATAAAAAATAGTTACATCTGTCATTTGAAACACTGAATTTCTTGATAGCTCTTCAAGTCATCGATAGGATATGGCTTAGGAATAAGTCAACCAGTCTAAAAATTACAGCCTTTGAGCAGTATAATATTTAAAAGGGCTCAGGTGTTCATGAAGTAGTATTCTTCACGGACTGACGTCATCTACAGAACCACTAAAATCCTAAGTGGATTGAACAGATGTTTTGTCCTAGTATGGGACTCCTCAGCAGTATGAACCCACTACCTGGTTACAGATTGAACTCAGGAACTTCAGGTTCACAGTGAACGCGTTGACCATTCAGCCACTTAGTCGAAGTTCAATAGTTCACAGTTTCTATTAGAGATGGATAGCACGTAATTCAAATGAGAAGCCGTCACCTATGGGGTCAGTCAGTCGGAAGGGAAGCAGATGTCAACTGAAGACCTTGGATTATAGTCACACTATGTAACGAATTGACAGAAGTTGGAAACTGTGAACCATTGAACTCCGACCCAATGGCCGAATGATTAACGCATCGGCAGTGAGACCTGAGGGTCCTGAGTTCAATCCCTAACCGGGTCGTGGATGCGTACAACTGAGGAGTCACACACTAGGATGAAACAGTTGTCTAACGCTTGGAGGATTTCAGTAGTTCTCCGACTGACGTCATTCCGTGATGAATGCTACTTTAAGAAAATTATTCCCCATTAGTTTCGAAACATGCATATAAATGAATTCAGTGATGTACACCTGATCTCCTTGTCCAACCCTCATCGCATAATCATAGTTTTTCTAAAGCATGATTCCCTGTCGTTAAATGGGAAATTGTTTACCCATTTTTGTGCTGTATGTGTATGTCTGTTACTATTTATATTTAAATTGACTGTAGGTAAGAGAGACTATACAGGCCACAGGTCACAATAATGCAGTGAGGTGGATACGTATGTCAATTCAGTTGGTATCTAGGGATGAATATTACTACCAATTTTAACACTGATTTAATGAAATAGAGGCTAATTGAATGATAGTAGTGATAGTATTGATGATGATTATAACGAATCAGATCAATCCAGGTTATTTGTTGTTGTTAATGCGGCGATAATGAAGTTAACAATGACGTTGAAGGTAGATACTAGAGTCACTCTTCCTACCAACTGGTTAGTAGTTGCCAAGAGGCAGCTAACTGTACTCCATCTAATCTGTTCGAACTATTTGGATTTGTTTAAATATATGTGAGGCTTCCAGTTTCAATCTTACCTTTTATGACCCAAAACCACTTTTTAGAACCTTAATTCAATCAAAGTCATTTTTGCGAACCGTTTCTATAGGGTACAGTATGGTTTTTATCTTCTTAACTTCTGCTAAGGTTCTCAGAATTTGCTTCAGACATAACCTATGCCCTCTCACTCTCGGATTTACCCACCTGGCTGTCTCCCACACATAAACTGCATTACAGTCTGAGCACTTAACTGAATAAACGCAGTCCCGTTGGTTATCTTTAAGCTCCATATCCTTAACTTTCATTGGATTAATCGTAGAGTATTTGTTGCATGGAAATAGACTCATATTTGTTGGGGATTCTCCTTATTTCTTCCGACAGCTTCTTACGATGGGGGATTGTCACCGTGTTTACCCAGCTCTTCTTTTTTTAAGATTCTTTTTACAAAATCTTTAGGTTTATTATTTGCTTCCAGTTTGTGGCAGACTGACTTTAACTCTTTCCTTCTATTCGCTCCCACTGTAACCGGATGGTTAACTCAGTATATACATCTGTGTGAAAGTTAATCTTTTCAGAAACTCAACCATACCTTCATAAGTACTGGTGTTGAAGTATTCACCAGCCTAAAATATATTGAGTTAGTAGGCCGTACAAGCTAAATTTCTGTAACTGTTAGTGAACAATAATCTCTACATGAACTTTTAAATTCATAATGTAGCAGGAATTTCGAAAGCCGAACAGTCTTGATTAATAAGCTTTCTAAATGCTTAGTGTACACATTACTCGACTGTTAAAAGAATAAATTGTCGACAGATGAACCTTCTGGAGCATCATAATAACAAAGACACTCACGGAAAACACATATCCTCTGAAGTTCATCAGTCGTTATGAAAACATCTCAACAATGTGAACTAATCAGTATTTTGTCCCGAAGAAGGATGTTTGCATCATGCTATCGTATGAGGGGGAATCAAACAATATGATCTTAAAACGAAGACTTAACTCAGTTATTAAAAAGACATACTACACAGCGAAGCTCCGTATTATCAAGAAAATGGAATCTATGATTCAAAATAAACCTCATAACTTGATAGGCGATTACCTCACATCCTGTTGCGTATACCAGTTTAGCTGTGTGCGATGAGACATACATTAGGAGGAGTAATAGAACTATGAAGTCAAGGGTCGTGGAGCATATCCCTAAATGGTTAGAAAAATAATTACATTCAGGGCAGATAAACATCACTGTTCTTAGGTAAACACATTATAGAAACAGGTCACAGGACTCACCCAAAACAGCCTTCAGACCATTGTATAGGAGCCGTCAAGATCATATACTTAGATTCATTGAAGCCTTAGCTATACAAAAGTTACAACCCCCTTTGTGTATTCAAAAACAGTTTGCTTTTACCTTAAACCTACTTAGATAATGTTTATCTCATTTTAATGCCAAGAGAGGTGTGAAAATGTATAATCCCTCCTTATCATCCTTATATTTTCTAAATATTGTATTATCTTAATTCATTACTCCACCCTATTTTCATTCTTCATATAAAATGTCTGGACAAGTTAATGTGTGGTCAGACTGTTTGAAATGTACTGCACGAAAACATCACATTTCTCAGATGACCTCATTACACTATACAACATAATAAAAGCATGTAATTCTTTTAAGGTGTTTGTCTTGTTCCAATATTCATCTGTTTGAAGGTATCCTGACCAACAGTGGACTGGATGGTTTGAAAAAACTTGGGCACCGAGTTAGTTTGATTCATTGCATAAGGTGTCTTTTTACCTGTGCAATTCCGGCGTAGTATATTAGAAGAAATAACAAAATAGACAAAAATTTTCTATTATTCCTCAACGTTTCGATCTTGTTAGGAAGATCCTTTTCAAGAGTATGAATCTGATATTAAGTTTTCAGGTTAATATTCAAGCTTTGGTACAGAAAGTGATGACCTTCACAATCACCCAATTACATAGTAATATGGAACAAAGATAGATGCAATACAGGTGAGTGAATAAGCAACTCGGTCAGAGAGGTTTTTTCTGTTGTGCGAGTAAGGTGGAACAAAAATAGGGTGGGGAAAATTTTTTTTTTAGTTCGTCTATGAAAGTACAATGGGGTGGGAGACATCAAGGGTGAGAAAGAATAGATTACTAGTTTGGAAGGATGACTATTTGAAGATTAGACTTGAAGTGTGAGTGATAACAAAATGGATTGTTATAGTTCTGGGAATGTATATGACTCAGAAAGTAGCGTAAAATTGATGAAAATAGTAGATCAATGAAGTGCTATGTAATAGGACTAGACAAGTTGTTAAAATGTAACCAATTTCTTCTTTTTCTTTTTTCCTTTTTCCTCGTGTTTAAGACGAATTAAGAGAAATCACACCGGAGACTATTCAGACAAGAGTGAATTTCTTCTAATATACTACGCCGGGATTACACAAGTAAAAATACACCCTATGCAATGATTCATCTGTTTGTTACTGTACTAAATCTCTTACCACTGTTATTATTATTGGTTCGATACACTTTCAAAATTTCTGGGAATCCCTATGTCACCTATTCACAGTTAAATATACATTTACAACCTTAAAGCTGACATAAATTTTACTCCATAGCGCTCATTATTTCTGATATACTAAAAATGATTCAGAGGATTTATTTTATGGATTTCCTGTATCCGACGTATTACTACTATTGTTACAAAGATTTTCTGACAAAAACTAATTACAGTTAGACTATCGGTATGCAAACAGATTTTCGCAGCTGGAGTCAGAAAAAATATTTATTAACTGCACAAGTCACCTACTATTGGTTTTGTTATGAATAACCTATAAACTAGTTCATGTAATATTTTACCTCTTTACAAAGAAACAAATTAACTGGGATTTAAAGTCACTCTTGGATATATCAGTAATCTTCAGCTTAAACTGATGCTGTGAAAACAGTGAAACAAGAGGTAGCTCTCGTGCCCCGGTGACCTAGAGAATAACCACTTCGGCGTTTGAAGCAATGGGTACTGGATTTGAGTATCAGTGACAACATCACTCATTAGCGTGCAAGCGTATTCAGCCAAAGAGTACCAAATAGGACAAGACTTATGTCTAGTCACTATGATGAATATAATATAATAACACTATACTGGTATCAAGTTATTCATCTATATTCACAAATATTTATTCACAACTTTCAAATTTGTATGAAATCACAGTCGAAAAAGCTTTTACCTTCCCAACGAGTCAGCAATACCACCACAACTGAAAGCACCAATTGCACCAGCTACCACAAAAGCAGTGCTCACTTGAGCATATAGAAAGCTCGGTGTTAAAAGATCAGATTTATTTTCAGCTTCACTTGCATTTTTACCCAAAATAGTTTGGGATAAAAACTGTTTAACATGCTTGATAGGCGAAAAAACAGTTAGGAGAAAACATATGATCAAACTGTGTGATAAGAGTCACAGCGTTAAAGTTGAAAAACGAAACATTTATGATTCGGTGTACAAACCAACAAGTATAGGTAAGGATTTATGTATAAAAACATTTAATCCATTAGTCACAGCATTACTTGTACTATGTAAGTAACTAGGAAAAGTGTGGACGTTAAAGTGTTATCCTGGTCAAAATATCTATGCGTACATGATCGTAATAAATAGCAACAACAATAAACCTCCCTGAACTTAACATTTCTTTGCAGATTTGTTTCCTAAGCCATTCAGAAAAACGTGCTGCGTCAGAGATTAAAAAAAGACTTCGGTTCTGTATAATAAATTTAGGCGAGGTAGTCTTGATTCTATAACTTATTGCCTAATAGTAGGCTGCTTAGAGGACTAAAACATAATCCTTATGTTGCTGCTTTTGGTTTTAAAATAAAAATTTATACCGGCAAAACTTTGAAATAACAAAATTGTAAAAATCAGTTAGGTAATACGGTTTTTAAAAAAGTCAGCCGTAGTCGTATCAAAACTGAATCAGCTACCGAATTTGCGCTCAAAATCATCTCATCATCTTCACCTTTGTACTAATGAAAAAGCCAATTTATTAACAAAGAACAGTCTGATTCGTTAACTGTTAATAATTTACAGTTTTCTAACTTATTTTTTATTGATACTTTAAGATAAACAGCGAAACTAGGGATATAGAAAAGCATTTTTGAGAAACCATAGCCTTATTTGAAAGTTGTATAATCTAACAACAAAAGAAGTAACACCATTTGCGGATTACATAAAGTTTATGAAAGGAACATGATGCATATTTGATACTCAACCGTTAAATTAATCCACAACTTCCCAAAATGCAAGTGACATTTATATCATTTCCAAGGTACTAGTATATGCTACTAATTAGCTACTTCGTAATATGTTTGAAGCGGGAATTTTCCTAACATTCCCTAACGATTCTTCAGATTGAAGAAGCGCGATGTACGTCAAATTTCTTCTTCAGTTTATCACTCCATTTATCTACAGCTTCCTCTATTTCCTCAAGAATAACCAGCTGAGCAGAATTGCAGAATATTATTTTATATTTTCAGGTTCCAATCAGCTGCTTAAAACTCATAAAGCATTTAAGATGAAGTAAAAATAGAAATTCTACAGAGTTGACTTCTTGAACTACTTGTAATCAGAAGGTATTCGGAGGACAACTGCTAATAACAGAGATTTATCAGCAAATGTGATAGAACTGACTATAAAAAATTGGAGAAAGTTGCAATTTAGAAAAATGAGTCTTTGTCCAGCTCGATTTTAAGAGTGACCATACTGCAGGAACATAGAACAGAAGGTTGAAATCAAATCAGAACGTATCCTAAATTAACCTGTAGGATTTCAACAGCTTTTCCGTAAGTTTACTTAAAAATCAACACACATCCTTCCTATGCCAACTTGCAATTTGTCCACGAAACTTGAAAAAGAAAGAAGGGCACGCTTTAAATAGCCTACAACTCAGTCATTCTTCCATTCTCTTCAGCCTATTGCTAGACACTTAACTGATACAACACAGGTAATGAGTACCTTAAAATCTTTTAAGATAATCTTCAAGCAGAACCATATCCGTCTACCATTAGCATAGGCAATTACAATCGGAAAGTCTTAAACCAAATTTTTGTGTCCAAAAAAAGCCGCTGCTAACCTATTTTTATCCCGGTAACCCATTCATAAGCTCTTCTCGTATGGGATTACGTAACTTATTATGTTTAACAGTAAACATTTTCTTCATACTAACCTACAGTTTTATTCCACTAGGCTCAGCTCACCACACTTGGTTTCTAAATTATTAGCACTGAATTATCTACTTAATTAATTTAGTTGTGTAATCACTTCATCATTATTATTATTTATCCCTTGGGTTCCTAGTGGAACATAGGGCTTTAGTAGCTCGCCTCCATTACACTCTGTTCTCTGCAGTCTTCGTAACATGGCTCCGTGACTGCCCAAAAGCTCTCATTACTTTCTGACACGATCTCCTGCGTGTCCCCTCACATTGGACGCCCAACTAGTCGTTTCCCATCTGGGTTCCACTCGACGGCTTGGCGCGTTGTGTCCCCGAATGGTTTTCTCAATGTGAACCAAATCCAACTTATCTCAACTTACTTCGAAATATTTGTTGGGTAATGGGTTCTTGGTTGGTTCCTTGTCAGGTTACAGTTCCTTATTGCATATTCTTTCTGGCCATCTCATCTGTTCTTCAGAAATGACAGTTGGCAGCTGTTTATCAGTGTCAGTAGTTTGTTGGAAATAGCTTTCATAAGGCCCTAAGTCTCTCAATCATCACATTGAAGCACTGATTTACTTGAGTGACATAAGTGTTGAAAATCCGTATCTGGTTCACTCTTTATGCTCAGTCCAATGCAGTGTAGTAGATCTCCACACTGACTTCAGATCAATGAAGATAGGCCTGTCTTGCTGTCTTTCTGATCCTGGCTTCCAGATACTCATCTATGTCTGTGGTGCCTGTAGTTGAAACGATGCTACCTTGGCAGGCACGTGATATAGACAACTTCCATCACATTTCTCCTATTCACAGTTATTGAGGCCTCTTGTTGTTGATACTGTTGTTGATTAAGTATCTTCACCACCTCTGTCTTCTCCACATTCACCTGAAGGAGGTCTCGTCTTCGCTTCCCTCTCTCTTCTCCCCAATTGTTCGTTTCTAAATATGGGTCTTCGAGTTTGTGAGACAAGACACTAGACATAAACCATAATCGACGAAATCCAAATCTTCTGGGGTCTTTCCATCGGTCCATCCAGCGTATGGCCATCACCTTATTCCTCACAGTTTGTTGCATGATCCAGTTCAGTCCAGTCAACCACAATCAGGAAGATCATCAGTAATAGTAGGCGGCAACCTTATCTCACTCCTTTCTGTCTTCACTTCAAAAGCATCACTGAGCTTTCCATTATCAGTCACTTGACATCCAGCATCATCGTCATCATAAGTTAGCCTTTGAATGAGTTTGATAAAGTTTTGTAGCACTAAAAGCGTAGTGTTGAAGCAGCTGCCCACTAAATTACTTCTAGGTTGACGCTGTTGAAGATCTTTTCGAAATCGATGAAGTTGAGGTAAAGAGTTGACTGTCATTCTACACTGTATTGTATGATGTTGCGTAGTGTGGTGTTGTGTTGCAATTTGATGCGCACATGATTTGTTCTTCCTGAAGCCATCCATCCATCCAGCTATCCAGACTGTTCTGGTCGTAGTCCAGTTGAATGTAGAGCATGTTCTAGTGCTTCTCCAGGATGATGGGCCTAATATTTTGCTTCTGGTGGATAGCAGGATGATTCAATCCATTTTTCAAATCATATTTATTCAGTTTGCATCCGTTAGCGTTTTCTTCCTAGGAAAATGTCTTTTCACGCTGGTATTCATCATGGATTGACATCATCTGGGGAACATTGGCAACCTGAGAGAAATGTATACTTGTCTCATCCCGCTTTCATGGACTCCATAGCTGTGTATATCCGTGACCTTGCCCTACCAGGTATTCGAACTCAGGATCTTTAGGTTCCTGACCGGCACGTTACCACTGAGTCATTGTCGAGATTCAATGGTTTATATTTCTAACTTCTGTCAGTTCACGACATAGCACGATCTTCACACAATTTTGTCGCTGAGTATTTGTCCTCAAGGACACCTGATTTGTTTTAATTTATCAAAATGTAATATCACTTCCATTTGGGTAACCTCTAATCTTGCATATTGAAAGTATCCACCGTCTTATATGTTTGGTGAAGAAGTCCCTTAGTTTTCTTTTGTAACCCTATAATAAGTATTTTATAGGTTACAAGTAGCTGATGAGAACCTAACGAAATAAAATGACATTACTTTATTCTGCCCACTTCCTTGTTGTTTCTCTGTTTAAACTCATCATTAGAACATGTTCATGAAATATCCTGAGCTAAATTCAGTTATGTGATCCGCTTATTCAGTGACTTCACTTCATGAAGACCAGTTATCAAGAATATTTGAATCTTGACTCAGTAGACTCAGTTTTGTGCGTGCAAATGTCTAGAATTTCCTAAAAGTAGATGGAATATTTTCTAACAGGTAATAGTTCCACTTAAAAAGGAACTTTAGTCAACTTTTTCTAAGGTGACTTCAGAAGCACAGTAGATCATTAAACACTTGAAAATATCTTACATTTCTGATAGTCATCATCCTTTATACTGTTAATTCACCTAAGTAATAAGGGAAAATTCACGAATTATAAAAGTAACTTACATCTGCTGGCAAATTCAAAACTCCCAAATTATAGCCAATTACAAATGATGATCCAAGACATGTCATAAAGACAGATATTGCAAGTGACTTTGTGAAATTTTTATTCTTCTGTAAACACAAACAAAAAGGGGGAAAACCTACATGAACAACAGTTACATGGCAACGTCTTTAAGATTGAAGTTTCAAGCTTTAAGTCAAAATATTCATTATCCAGAATGGCATTTGTTTCAATGTAATTTCAATAAAACAATCAATAAATCAACAGTAGGAAAGAAATGACTGAACAACATGGAAGAGAAAAATTCTCCAAGAATAGAATATGTCCATAGTCATATGTGTTCGCAGAAATGTAAATGTAAAGTAGAAGTGTTAAAAATAAGTTAGTAGTAAAGCAATTGATGACCTATTTGTTTTTCAGTCATTTTTCTTAACTTTATGGAAAGCAAATAAGCAAAAATTACTAAACCCTAATGCATGTAACACGATATAAACTCAGCCATCTTGAATTGTTGCTATATTTTCAAAATGTAAGCAATTATGAAAGATGTGGGGCAACATGCAGACATTCAGGATAAATTAAACAAAATTAAAAATTGGAATCTATTCAATATTTCATTGTAACAGTTATGATAGTGAATGCGGTGGAGCATAACAAGATAATAAAAAAATCACTTTAAGCTAGAATGAACAATTTTATACAGAATTTCAATGCAGCATAGTAATTAGTTATCCAGATGAAACAAGAGACCTATACACCAGCTAGAAAACCGATAAGAATGGAAATCAACATGCTTGCATACTTGTGATGGGTTAGTTAGGTAATTTTTGTCAACTGTAAGCGAACAACATCAGTGAATTTACAGGTTTCAAGGAGGACTAGTAGTAGAACAAGTACTACAACTTTTAGATTTTAAGTTCAGGTAGGTAAATAATTTTAAAAGTTGCGCTGAATCCACTGTAAACTTGAATAGTACTACTTCAAACAATTTTATGTTCACTAGTGAAGAAGATGAAACTAGTTCCTATTTTAGATTTTATGCTAAATTGATGGTAGGTCATCAATGGAAACACCTACGTAGATATTATATTAGATTTTACAATTAAATTTGTGGTTAAACTATTAAGGGATCCGACTGTACTAAAGAAAACAGTTTACGATAAAAAAGACTCATTAACTTAATGGGAGAAATTTCATAAATAGTAAATACAGAGGCGTATGATAAAACTCATTTTTACCAAGTCAGTGAGTTCTCATAGAGCGTCATTCATAGGTCCATACATAAGAAAAGCCTCAAAATACTTTTAATCAACTGTTCAATAATTCATATCTATAGGAATCAGTGTTCTACTTGTGCACAGAATCACCAATTCTGACTGACCGGTAACAGATTACATTAATGAGCATCATAAAGTTTTAAATTGTGTCAACTGGAGGGTTTACATCAGTTCAAACTTGGAACATACATTGAGGTTTGAGAATTTAAATGTTTAGGTACATATTCATCAACTGGCTTCTGCTATCCAAGAATTCGATTCCTGTAACCAAATAAATTTTCTTTACTTTTGTAGTGTAATCCTTCTTATATTTGTGTAACCTCCCATAATAAAAATTCGCAATTGAATGATTTTATTCAATTTTCAATTGTTTTATAATTCGCATTTAAAAAAATCTTACCACCTGACATAAAGAAACTCTAACTTTTTTATGTCTTCAATTCTAATCATACCGCTTTGAGGAACATATGACTGCGAAACTTCTATTAGGACTAATTACCATATTGGAGTGATTTCTATCAGGCTGTAGACAACAAATCAATCGCTGTTTTATAACGACCTTCTATACACCCACGACAAAAGATTATTATTATTATAAATACAGTACTTCTCTTACACTATTATGAGGTGACGTTAACTCTCCCCATTGACTCAAAAAACTAATTATCGACTGAGTTTTATGTTATACATGATAGGTAAGGTGATTTTTTTCTTTCAGCACAGTCAATCGTAATACTATTGATCTACATGACATTAGGCTGATAAGAACCTCGGTAATCCAATCTTGCTATCCGTTCATATATTCAAAAGATTATTTACCCATCTTGAACAAACCAAAATTTGGAAATCATAAAATTGAGTTTAGTGAATGCATTATCTGCTTCCATGAGCATTTTTCACCATAAAATGTAAACAGTACCTTTCTGATAACAAGAGTAATTGTATACCAAGTGTTATAAAATGCAAAGGAAATCCTAATAACAAGATTACCTGCTTTAACCTATGAAACTAGTCTATGGATTTGACATAATGTGAGAAACAGACCAGTATGCTGATTTCATCCCAATTTTAATGAAATCAAATTAAGAGAATACCAAAATCTAAACTAAGCTGTTCACCAACAAGTAATCTATAAAAGAGCCAGTATAAATTGAGATCTCCCGAAGGCAGTAGTTTACTTATGAGTGAAGTCCAATGAAACTTAACTCAGATTCATCTTATCTCTGTTTACTATTCCTAATTCTATACATACTTTAGTTTAAAGATAGATTATCATTTACCAGTCAGATATCATTCAATCAAGTGGCTTCCTTAAAATGAGTTCTTCTACGCGATGATTACTGATTCCCACTTTGTTTATTTTATTAAAATGTAATAAAAGATAAAAATGTGTTTTGCTGTTGTTAGATAAACTACTTTCGATATTTCTCAACTGCTTTAATAAAACTATATAAGTCGATATTCAGTTATCTATCCGAATTTGTGATAATAATGATTTAAAGTTGTTATTCATCGAAGACTGACATCAGTTGGAGGAACAAAGGAAACCTGGGAGCACTGGACAGCTGTTTCGTCCTAGTATGGGACTCCTCAGCAGTGCGCACCCACGACCCCACCAGCAGGGATCGAACCCGCGACCTTCAGGTTCCGCGGCCAGCGCGTTACCATTGAGCCACTGGGTCAGAATCCAATGCTCCATATTTCCAACTTCTGTTAGCTCACGATATAATAATTTAATTTTTTACAAAATTGAATTTAACTTACGGTTCCTGATTCCATATTATTTATGTTGTTCCAATAAAATATTAATTTAGGTCAAATAATTATTGCTACAACTACTGTTATCAATATATGAAGCCTAGGCAGCCACACCTCCTAAGATCAATTATTGTTCAAATAATGTTGTCATGAATTTATATAGTCACTTATATATATACACACACATATATATGACTGTGGTTGGTGCGTGGATCCTATAGGTTTCGTGCATATACTCATATGCAGGCATAGTAATGAATTGCATGAAAGAGATGCAACATATAGTTTATGAGCATGTGATTCAGCACATGTGCAGTACACATATATGGTATACATTACTTGACATATTGTCTCCTCATTTTCTTTTCGAGTCATTAAGTAATATAAAAATTGTTAAAATAGTCAATTCATATAACTTTTCTCTATACTTGGCAGATGTTTCATGTATTTGATGAATTTTTTTCTTATGGCAGTAATACTACGCATATGTTTGAGTCTCATTTGGTAGATATAATCGCTATCATTACGGTCATCATTTTGTATTGATAATTAGAGAATAATGTGTTATCTTGTGATTTTTCAACTCTAAATCGATCTATTTCAGAAATGAAAAAAAAAGTGGTTTCGGAGGAAAGCTTTTTATCTCTAATCAATGAAGAATATTCGCTTGCTTTTCGGTACTTAGATATTTCGCTGTCAGAATGTTATGATAATATTCATGTTTTTAAACTTACTGATGGGCTGATGAGCCTCGGTTACTTTCCACATTCCAAACCAGATATACCTAGATACAATTTACTGTGGTTATTTGCTTTGATCCTTTTTATCCTCTAATATGTTTCTTCGTTATTTTGCCAAAACAGGACTATCTCAGCCTCAGCAACAATCAGTAAGACGCACACTGTCAAATTCGGCTAGATGTGGATTAGAACGTTAAGTCTTAACTGATCGAAGGATGCAGTTACAATAAATGGACTGTCACACATCATATACTCATGTGACAAACTATCAAGTCATCTGCAATTACAGAGAACTTAATAACGGACCACTAACTTAGTCTCATACCTCAGTTGATACAGCAGTGTGAACGTGAGTCGGGTGTCATTGGTTCATGTTGTGGTATGATCTGAATTTTCATTTCACCTTCGCTTATAATTCCTCAACAAATATTACCATCCCGTCATTTCTAAAATTCCAACCAATAAATGTTTTGTTTTAATCTGAAGGATTTGTGCAGATTTATAAATCGATTTCAGGTTGGTATTCATCATAGACTGACATCGGCTAGAGGAGCAGTGGACAGCTATTTCGTCCTAGTATGGGACTGCTCAGCAGCGCGCACCCATGATCCCGTCAGGGATTGAACCCAGGATTTCCAAGTTGCGCAGCCAGAGCGTTACTATCGACCCACGCGGTTGGAATTCAGTGGTTTATATTCCTACTTTTGGATGGAGGTGAAGCTGTATCGTGAACTGACATAACTTGAAAATATGGACCGTTAGATTCCGACCCAGTGGCTAACTGATAACGTGTTGGCCACGGAACCTGAAGGTCCCATGTTTGAGCCCTGAGGATGTATGGGTGCGCACTACCGAGAAGTTCCATGCTGGGACGAAACAGTTGTTTGGTTCTCCTAGGTTTTTAATGCTCCTCCAAGTGATGTCAGTCCATGGTGTTTTTCAATCTGAAATATTTTTTTCCTTTGAAATAAATTAGCTGTACATTCATTTGGAAATTTAACAAGTGTTTAGTTTGTTAGGCGTTCAGATTGTTATCAATATTTTAGACATCAAATTCAAAAGGTAAGAAGTTCAAACAACCTTGGAATATGTTTGTTTATGATAATGGAAAAATAAAGTATAACGAAAGTTTCCATGCTTTCTATAGCAACACTCCATAAACAAGTATAATTCAAGCATTTTTTCTAAACTTAACTATTAATAAAGGTATGAATAAAAGCATTTTAACAGAATGAAAAAAAAGTAAACTTCACTGCTTTCTCATCAGATGCATTACAGTCAAAAATAACAAAAGATAAACTTTACTGCAAACTCAAACTCACCAAAAATAAACCAGACAGAAATCAACATAATATACTCAGGAAGTGGACACCATAAAACCTCCAGTGAAGATCAAAACGACAGATCAAATTATTATTCGTAGTAGTTTACATCATGTAATTAAAGCTTCTTAAAAATTGTTAAGTGTGATGGTAATACTTGGTGGGAATCAGATCAATAAGTTGCAATTCAGTTGGTTGAAATTGGGATCAAACTTAAGCATTCAGTATCAAAAACTAGATGATGTGATCAACTGAGAGCATAAGTTCAAAGTTATATATTGATAATTATTTTCTTTCGAAAAATTTATTCTCGTGTTTAGTAGATTCATATACCATAGGTGGAAGGTTACTTAAAAGTTCTAATCCAATTTCAGAAAAGACTGCTCAACAGTATCGAATTTCGCTAAATCCATAACACAGTGCGTTTAACATTCACCAGGTATTATTGATATTCTCAGATATTGTAATGAAGTTACAATCCTTCACTTATATAGTGAGGTTAGCAAAAAACAGTAAACTCACTGATCAGATCTATTTTCAGTGAATTAACATTTAAACTGAACATTACTATATATACAACATTAAAAACTAAACTTAGTGGAAAAAATTTACATAATGGATGGTGGTAATACAATGGTAACATTTATATGCATAGCAATAGTAGCGATTCCAACAAACCACAGATATTCATCAACAGCTGCTCGTTACTGAAGCTCAGATGGCCAGAATAATAAGAATAAGCAAAAAGGAACGTTGACAAAGAAGCAACCAAGAACCTATCGCTCAACAAATATGCACTGGAAGGAAGTGGAGATGGACTGGACATACACTGAGAAAGCCGACTGGGGACATCACGCTCCAGATCAAGCCCTCGAGTGGAACCTAGATGGGAGGCGACGAGTTGGGCTTTCTAGGGTGTCATGGAGGAGATCGTGTGAGGAAGAAACGAGAGGTTGTGGGCAGTCGTAGAGCCGGGTTCAAAAGACTACAGAGAAGAGAGTGGAGTGGAGGCGTGCTGGTGAAGCTCTATGTTCCACTAGGAACCCAAGGGACAAATCATATAATAGAATAATAATAGTAGCAAATATATGCAAAGTAATAGTGGAATGATAACAGAAAAAGGATTGCGTGGGCTAATGAATCGCTGATAAGGTGAACATTATTCACCGATAGGTATGAATACAGTAGACCTATTAAGTAGATACATCCCTAGATAAAAGGCTAATGACTAGTTAATTATAACAAATATTCTTTAATAAAAGTTGATTTTCTTGAAAAGACTGAAAGAAAAAATCTCAGAAAGTATCTGTACTCAGTATCATAACAACGGTGATATTGAAGGAATGCAAAGAATAATTTGACAACATGAATGAAATATTTCTTTGTCTTATTGCTGTTCAATTTATTCCTGTTACTTTAATCCCTTTAAAGACAATATTTTGCCCTTATTTCATCTTAATTATTCCTAACACTTGACTATTCATCGTTTAGTTGAACATTTCTCGGTTGAATAAAATCTATAACTTGTCCTTTCACCACCTGACTTGTTCAAACATGCAAATAAATGATTTCTATCTATGCACCAAATTATTATTATTATTATATTATTAATCCCTTGGGTTCCTAGTGGAACATAGGGCTTCAGTAGCACGCCTCCAGTGACCTCTGTTCTCTGAGATCTTTTGAACCTGGTCCCACGACAGCCCAGAAGCTCTCATTTCCTGCTCGCACGACCTCCTCCATGTCACCCTCGGACGTCCAACTCGTCGCTTCCCATGGGGATTCCACTGGAGTAACTGGCCTGACGCGTGATGTCCTCCGTCGGCCTTCTCAGTGCATGGCCAATCCATCTCCACTTCTTCCTGCATATTTGTTGCGTGATAGGTTCTTGGTTGGTTCGTTCCCAGAGTTCCTTGTTGCTTATTTTTTCTGGCCATCTGATCTTCAGCAGCGAGCGTAAGCAGTTGTTGATGAATTTCTGTAGTTTATTGGAAATCCCTTTCATGACGCGCCAAGTCTCTGAGACATACAAGAGCACTGACTTGACGTTGGTGTTGAAAATCCGTATCTTGCTAATGAAGGCCTATCTTGCTTTTCCGATCCTGGCTGACTTTGACATCCTCGTCTGTG